AACCGACTTGCTGTGATTTACTTTTACACGTCATTTTTCATACCATTCGGATTGTAAATTTAAATGAGACTGTAAATTAGTAGAGGCTATAATTGGTTCATTATGAATTGAAAAAATTACTTTATCATCTGCATAGTCGGCAACAAAGGTGTTTGGAGTTGTTGGCTTATCAGAGGCATAAATGTTAAAGAGTAAGGGGGAGAGGATTGCTCCTTGAGGTACAGCATTTTATATTAAAATTGTATTATTTTATAAAATCTTRACTTTTGTTTTTTCATAATTGTAAGTAAAGTTTTTTCTTTACTTTAATTTATAGTAGTGTGAAACGACATGATATGATCTTAACATTGTAAAATATGCTTTAAAAGCAATACAATTTCAAGGTTTACTCTAAAAGAATTCGTAATTTGTATAACATATTTTTTGCTTACCTAGTGTATAGTATGATTGACGAAAAAAATATGCAAATGCGTACAAATCTGGGTTCTACTAATAAAAGATAATCGTATACCTATAGTGTAGTTGCGAAATTAAGTGTGAACAACATTTACTGCAGATTACTAGATGTCTAGATATATGTATTATTGACATTAGACACATAGGTATAGCCTATAACCTATATCTGCTTATTATCTATATTACTGTACGTTAACCTCGTTGAAATCGATGTCAGATAAAGTCATAATATATCACTTATTTTACGATTCCATTCTAGTACACAGATGAATTTCAAATATGAATGCCATTTTCGACTTTTTTTAATATTCTTTTTTTCTTCAAATGTTCATAAAATGTATGTTTAGCCAAAAAGCTTGAAAAATGAATGTAGTATCTTTATATGTTTTTATWTCTGRAATCCAAAATGGAAGAATTTAAAATTCATAACTTTATAATTTTAATATCTAAGACTTAAAAATTGATTCCTAATTTTCGTATGAGTTGTTTGTAATTAAGCATTTTAAAAATATCGAAAACACATTAGCACTGTTTTTTTTATAAAAGTTTGAAATTCAAATTATGACAAAATAAATATTTAAACATATACAAATTATATTTTTTTTTTTATAATCAATTCAAAAATATAATTCTTAGGGACTGGAAACCTGTTCAAATCATTCTAAGGACTTATGAGTTAATAACAGCTAATAATATTATGTTCATAATACTATAAAATAGTATGTGACCTATGTAAATAGTGTTTAGAATAAATTAGTTCAATTTATACAGTTTATAAAATGGTGTAATAGATGTGCAGGTTAACGTTTCAAAATCATTTTTCATATTCAACGATGGAATTCAATTCACATCTAATCAATTAATAAGAACATTCGAACATTTCGAACACATTTACACATTATACTAACAGCAGCGAACAGAGTGATTACACTATTTTGTTTTCAATTATTAAATTAAAATATTTTTGATACTCTTTTACGTAATTAATATCATATGTGTTCTACTAAAATGTTTAGAGAATAATCGTTAACATATTATATAAGTAAGGCATCGTCCCATAATATCGAAAATGTGTTTTTTATTAATATTATTATCGTATTGTTTTCATGGTAAGCTAGGGGACATTATAATATTAATTTTACAAGACATGCGAAAACATTTACAAACTTCATGGTACCAATTGATTTAAAKATGTGTCAATACGAATACACGTCACTGACACAGAACGACATTTAAAAAAGTTCAGAATTTGAAAATCTAATAATTTACTGCATATAGACTCACACAAAATGTATAAAATAATTAAAATAACCGGTAAAATTATAAAGTTTTGTATTATTAATTAAAAGCAACCACATTTTTTTTKGGAACGTTGTTTAGGTTAATGTTTTTTTAGGATGAGCCATGTAAACGGGAATCAGTCTTTAGCGGACCATTGATCATAATTCATAATTATTATGGCTGATATTTTGATGATATGAAATTTTTTCCGATGTTTTAAAATGTAACTCCTCATGGAGAAAATGTATTTTAGATACCGACTACACTAACTGATATTAGTGTAATTTTTAATCTGCACATTTCGATAAACTTGTTAAAACAAATTGTTTAGAGAACTGTTAACAGATCTTCGGGCATAAATCATTGAAAAAAAACGTACTATTGTCATAAATAACAAAAGGCTATCAACATAATTACTACAACATTATATGCAACTCTAGTTCACCGCTGTTTTCATATCTACAAAAAATACTGAAATACAAAATAAATTTTATGTTTCAAATTAAGAAGATAAAAGACCTAATACTTATTATTGAAATATTGCTTACGAAATTCATGCATTTGGATTACAATTTGTTAACATTTTAAGTTCTTAGAAAATATTTTAAACACATTTTTTTTTTTTAAGATTTTTAATTCATTATAAAATTATTTATTTGGGTTTGAAAACTTTCCATGACTTAATTGATATATTACTAGTTGGAATTTTAGACTTACTATTTCATTGATGCAAAGCAATGAATATTTTTGAAATTTTATTTCAAATTCAAAGATTCTATTTTATGCTCTCTATTTTAATACCTACGTAAGAAATATAAAAAATGCATTATAAACGTGTAGATCGTAGGTGGCATTCAGTGGCAAAGCACTATAAATTATAAAAATAAAAATGCACAATAGGTGATTGTCCAACAAATTTTCAACAATTAAAATATTACCACACTCAATTCATAATTTTAGTAAACATTAACAACAATTGTGAATGTTGGGTAAAATAAGCTAATACACAATTAGTATAGAGATGCACGATGAACATAAAAATTTGTAGTTAATTAAATTTTACAGAAATTATTTTTAAACAACTATATGTTATTCGTATTGAGCAATTAAGATAACACTTATGTTTAACTGATTTAACTTAATATATCAACAATCATACAAGTATTAAAAGAATTTAAAAATGGCAAAAAAAAAATCAAAGAGTTCAATTGGCTTGGTAGACGATTTTAAAAGTGATGATATTGGTTTATTAGTTTATATTACATGTTTAGTTAAAACAACGTATTATACTCATTGTTAAATTGCAATTAGTGAATTATCAGCAAATCATATTTTCTTTTTTAGATATCATATTAAAAAACGTATACGTCAAAACATTATTATTTTATTAAAACGACGAAAATAGATATTAAACTTAAGAGTTACATTTGCATATTTGATCATATCACAATAAATTACAATAACTACTTGGTATATTATATTTTATTGTTGGATTTATATTTGCATTCAGTATGTGATAGAAATCCATCAATTTCATTAAGTCGATTTGAATACCACATACAGGTACTATACATTAATATATAATATAATTTAATTTGAAAGTATATATCAAATAGGTATCAGTTGAAACACTTAAAAGTTAAAACTTTTAAGCAATATTCGTAATATTTTAACCTATACCTACCATAAAATATAGTTTGGTAGCCAGTGTTCACTGGTATACATTATATCGATAAATAACATTAAATATACAACATGATTTTAAAAATAAAAATATCRCAATATACTTTGAGTAATAAGTATATTAAAAAAATAATGTATGATTTTATATTTTATTTATGTACTTTCACGTCTTCTAATATCTACACATTATTGGACACAAAGAAACAAAAACAAAAAGCCAAAAATATATAAAAAAAATCTTAAAACCACTATTTTCATCCACAAAAATATCTACTCAACGTAGGTACCCATAATCGAGAGCAACGTTTAGGAATATTTGGCATGTACCCATGTGTCACCTACGTTGTTGTCAGATATAAATTATAAATTACTATTAAGCCGCTTTTAGTTAATGACTTATATTTTGTTCTAATGACTTACACGATATTTTGATCTTAAACGTATTACATTCAATACCAACTTTTAATAATAAAATATACTTACAAATTAGTTGTTGGTATTTACAAAAAAAAAAAAAAACAATTTGTTTTTTACTTAACAAAAATTAAAACATGGTAATTAATGTTTTTGAATTTGTCAATTGTTTTAATAGCAAATACARATATTGCTATTTGGAAATCGACTTCTTACCTTATTAATACAAAATAAGTATTAATACATTAGTACATACCAATGTATAAGTACATGTATTATTGAAGGGCTATAGATAAATAAAAATTATCAAAATTATTTCTATAGGCATTTTAAATCAATTTTACCATAGTAGTTATCTAAAATAAAAATATAACAGTATATTAATATAAGTCATAAGATATATAAATGGTAGCTATTTATAGATATCCAATTAATTTTTAGAAAAGGTCGATTCAAATTAAAAATGAACTAGATAATGCATTACTTATAAAATAATATAGTTGATATAACAACGAGTGTTTTATATATATTTTGTAAAACTTTTCGCATGTTAAATAGCCAGTAAGCAAGGTTCATTTATACACGATCAATATTTTTTATTAATAAATAACCAATCCGCAAATGGCAACATTTTAACATTTTAACAACTAAATAATTTAATAGGCACTTATAAATTATAATAGCTATTGCATTTTATGCTTTAAAATTTTTTTTTATAATCAAAAATTTACTATACTTCTATATGATTCTATGATACACAAATAAATAATTATTATACTTAGAAGGTGCATTCTAAAATAATTTCTTAGACACCTAAAGTTTGGYGAATACATCAAATACTTCCTACGGTTTATTTAAAAGAATTAGTTTTCATAGAAATCATTTTCGATTTTAAACAGTCTAATTAATACATACCTACTTTGAAATGCAATATTTTGTTTTTCTTAATTTCGTCGATTCCTAGTTTCCTTTAAGTTTAAGCACATTGGTAAGAAAACTATAAAGAGAAGGGTTGAAAAAAATTCAAAAATTATTTTTAACCAAGTTTTTCAGAACCGTTTTTTGAGTTATGCACAGTTTATCATTATTTATAACTTTTATAACACGTCATAAAATACTCACTCCACTTATCCTGCAGGAGCCTTCACACAGACACACATGACCAAGTTGGCTAGCTGTTTTGAAATTTTCTATCGAAATAAATACAGCATCCTGGCAAGGTAATCATGTCACATATGGCTGTTCGTATTAAATATTTAAATTTCTGTTTTTTTTTTTTTTAATATTACGTTACTATAATTATTATAGTATACGAGTAGTGTATATAAATATTTATAATAATGCAATAAAATTAAACATCATTAATTTATGATACGTAATCAAAGTCTTCAATCAGAGATGCATATTATTTAAGTGACAATAACTTTTACTACCTAGTCATTCAAATAATTTGGAGAGTTGATTGTTTTCAAAGATTTAAAAACAATTGTTTACGAAAATAACCAAATGGTTTGTCYAACAGTAGATTATAATATATTATAATACCCATAATAATACCTACCTATAGATATTTTATATATGTATTCAAACGCGTTTTTTCCTATTTTAAAATTTATATTGTCCGTCTGTAAAATTAATCTAACCTGAAACCGTAGGTATACAATGAGTTTTGCGTAGTCTTACTATACGATGATGAATGTAATAATATGTCGATAAATAATAGAATTCCATATTATACAACAACAAAGGAGAACTAATAAACTCACGAATACGTACTTGAGAGTTATACACTCATTTGACAGGTGTACGGAACGACACGTGTTTATCTCGTAACTTCATCATTCAAACAGCTATACATAGGTACATACCATTAGGTATATAGCACTACTGGAACAACGTAGTGCAAATTTTTGTGACCCATTTGTTCCGGTATGGTTTTGCTTTTATTCTTGTGTGTTTATGTGTTTCTCTCTCTCTCTCTCTCTCTTTTC